CATTTGGGGTGAGTGTTCACACTCTCATTTGGGTCTCAGCATGTGAGGCATTTGTTTGGTTGGTGTCGGCTCAGTTTTGGGAAAACTTCGCCGAGGTGGAGAATTGTGGAGAAGAATTGGAAAAAGCAGATTTTTGGTCATAAGTCGACTCATGCACAGGCATAAGTCGACTTATGGTAAGTCGACTTATGTTGGTGCATGAGTCGACTTACGTTCTGCTCTGGATTGTTGGTTTTTTGCTCTGCCAAGTCGACTTATCAGGTCTGATAAGTCGACTTATGATCTCTTCTCCAGTTGCTGTTTTTCGCTCTGCCAAGTCGACTTATGCAGACTGATAAGTCGACTTATGACGGGTTTTTTGGAAAGTTCAGGTTCCTATTTGCAGTCTGTTTGGGTTTCTGTTTTGGTATAAATACCAATACGATTTGAGGGTTTTGTGAGGAGAGTTTTGGGGTTTTGGAGCACAGAAAAAGAGAGATCTTTCTGAGCTATTTGTTAGGGTTATTGGTTGAGAGATTGAGAGATTTGTTGGTGAGATTAGTTGGTTCGTTTGAGCGATTTGTAATCTCAATTTGTACTCTCCTTCTCTATTAGTGAAAACCCACCCCCTTCTTGCCCCGTGGACGTAGGCAATTTGCCGAACCACGTAAAACCTTGGTGTTTGTGTTTTGTTTGGTCTTTCTCTCGGCGTTCGTTGGTTTGGTTTCTCAAAGCATCAGTCACAACATGGGCAACCAAACCAAGTGTATATATATACTAACTCTTGCCCCCACATACTTGTGCAAAGGGCCATAGCCAGTGGTAGCTTGAACCGAACCCTTTGAAAATCTCATTGAAATTTGAAATCAATATTTATATGAAGTTTTTATTTTGCGTAACAAAAAATAACGACTTTGTACCTATCATATGCCTTGAGTACAAGAGAGAGATGGAAGGTAACCAGCCAAAACAATTGTTTATGTTTACTGTGCATTTGTGAGTGGTGACAACTGAAGTATAGAGTCTCCTGTTTGTTGGATCGTGCAAAGATATGATTGTAGGCAACCAAATGTTTTCCTAATCTCATAATAAATAAGAGATGTCTGTTACGATAGAAAGATTTCATATTTGGTTGCAGGAGAAACAAATTGTTGAAAGTAGCCTAAAGAATTGAACTACTTTTTATTGACAAGAATGTGGCAAAACTAGAGATTCTGGAAATTATACTGATGACAATAAGGTTTAGGCGTGATGAAGCACCTTTGGTTCTTGCAACATATAGGAGTTGCAGTTGTATTAGGCATAGTAACGTCCTTGGATAGCCATTTGTAATTAAAAGTAATATATGTACAAGGGGCATGTTTCTAGAGGTATTCTGTTGCAGAGATTGAGTCAGGTTCCTTTTGTCCAGGTGAAGTTCTGGAAGTATTAGATCCATGTTTAGCTTTTAAAGTCGTGAATATGCCCTCTTTTGGGGGTCTAAAAACACGAGAGCAATGTTATCAATGCGTAACACGCAATGTAGCCGTAGGGCACAAAGTCCCTTTACGCGCACATGCACAAGGCACAATGTGATGCGCACGGCCTACTGCAGCGAGGCGCACACCACACACTCAAATGTTCAAGATTTATAATCAAGAACAAGAGAACATGTTTATGAATCTGCACATAAAAATATGTCAATATAGATAATGTCTACTACCAAATAACAAAATAAGGTCTTAATTTCTAATTCTAACACAGAATCATATAGTAAATGAGGTTTAGTTAGGGTCCTTAATCAGGCCACTAAAAGACCTAATTGGTTTATTTTACTTTTTGGGATACGATTTATCAGTTTTAAGACCTAATTAATATATTAAAGTCCATAAATATATGAGGTTGTGCCTTGTATGCAACCTACTGCGAAACACAGGGTGCTTAAGAGTCACAAAAGGCACTTCACAATATATGTGAGGTGCTTTGCCGCGCCCCGCATCACAGAGCGCATGAGACGCATGCCTCTGATAACATTGCACAGAAGTATGTTCAATTTAAGATAGAACTTTTTTTTGTACTTTATTGAATTGAGATAGTAAGTTATAGTTTATACACACACACTATTATAAAAAGAGGATTGAGGTGGTAAAACTTTTAATTTACTCTTTTGCCCTCTTAAATTTTGATAAATTCTAAATATGCCATTATCTCTAATTAATCTTTCAATAAATAAATATAACCACTTATTAATTATGCACCTCCTCACATTCTTAAATAATTGCAGCTATCAATAATATTATAACTATTAATTATTTAATAATAATATATTAAAATAATTATAGAATAACTATACAAAATTATTAATAGTAACCAATTAATTATTATTATTATTTATGAATTATAATAAAATAATTTAAATATTAGTATACATAAGATAATGTATCACCAAATACTATTAAGAATTACATTATAATTCAATGAGCAATAAAATAAATAGAATAAATATTTAATAGCATAAATAGTGTAATTATTTTAATAATATCACATAAACTATGAGTACACTATTTATTTAGTATTATATTATTAAATAAATTAAGTAAAGAATTTAATATTTGTTTTAGAATATTTTATTTAAGATTATTACATATATTGAATAATTTATACTTAGTAATGATTGCAAACTAACCTTTTTATAAAAAAATTATTTAATATTAATAATAGCACTATTAATCATTAATGATAGTATACTTGATAGTACTAAATTATTTAAGAGCATAATTAAAAGTATTAAAATAGATAAATATTTTATAGTATATAGATAGTATAATTATTTTAATGGTATTACTTAAACTAAGAATTAAAATATTAAATAAGGTAAATTACAGTAAACCCCATGAACTTTCAGCATCTTCTGATAAATAAACTATATGAAATTTTGAAATCACACTAAACCCCTAATAACTTTTGTAGAAAACCCCTAATATCTTTTAGATAAATTACGTCAAACCCCAAATAATTTTCAAAATACATTTTTACGCCATCTGGTTCTAATTTATAGGGGTTATTTGCAAAATTTAAAAAGTTATTGGGGTTTTTCTTTAAAACAAAAAAGTTACTAGGGCTTTAGTGTGATTCTAAAAGTTCACAGGGGCTAAAAGTTCATAATGGTTTAGTGTAATATACCATATTCAATAATTATAATGAGAAGTAACTATCGCAATATGTTGCTGGTATTAAGTGTAACTATATAGAGAACGTCGAGAAAAAGCTAGCAAAATTAATGCAGCTTAGTTAAATTAACAATTTTCAAGTTGGAGGGGTATATTTAAGAGAACTTATAGATTTGGCAGACTTATTTAAGAATTATTGTAGATTTGGGGGACTTATAAAAAAAAAGGTTTGCACTGGACAATTATTATAAGAAAAACCTTCAATTACAATAACTACACAATAATAATTAATTCATACATTTATTTTGAAGTAATCTTATTATACAATTTTATTTATTAACACATAAAAAATCAAAACTTAAAACATCTACATTCACGTGCAAAGCACGTTCATTATATATATATATATATATATATATATATATATTCAAATTTGTGTGTGTGCACGTGTTTGCATGCGTGCGCGTATGTATGTGTATATGCATGCATATATGTGCGCGTTCGCACGTGTGTGTAAATGTATGTATGTATGTTGTTGTTTTTCTAGCGAAAAAGGAATGAGTGCACTTTGCATTAAGCAACCAATTAAGTTGTGGTTTGACCTTCTGTAATTGTATAGCCATGCAAGATAAGGTTTCCCTCGTAGTAGGGATAAGATATTTCACTAGAATTTCCAAGAAAGGAACTGAGGTAGGTCCCTTTTTTTAATGAAAATAACATTGGAAGGCGTTGAGTTTTTAATCAAGACGCAAAGTGAAAATCAATGTAACATGTAAACCCGGCCTCAATCAACTCGTAGGTCAGTGGGTAGCATCAGTGGAGTCTTCAGAGTGAAACTGAGAATGTAGTTTATTAAAAATTACTACATCTCGTTCCTGATAAATAAGTTTTGCATGAAAATATAAATAGCTGTTTATTTATATGCGTTGACTTTCTTTAGATATTCTTAAATTTTGGTTCTAATGGGTGAAATAACTTTTTTTTTATGTCCTCTGTATGCATCTTGAACTATTCTTTATTATTGAATTATTATGCAAGAAAATGCATCTATTGAGAATTGTACTTTTTGTATTCTTAATGCGTGGGCAATATATGGCTTGAACTAATACTTGACAGGTGAAAGGTTCTCTCTTTTGAGTTGTTACTGACATGTGTTTAGTACAATCGTGAGAGTATTTCTGTTGGCTAAGAACAACAATGACGTCAAGAAAAGCCTCGATCTATTCTGGACTTTTGGGATTGGCTATGTGAATTGTTTTCTTCCATTCAGTTTTGGTAAGGGCTTTCTGTTTGGTTAAGTAAATATCTATCACATCATTTTTGGTTTTCTAAGTCCATGTCTATACTCAAGTATTCGTATCTTGTGTGTTCATGTATTATTGCTCTTACTTGGTTCGCTTATTGGACTTTATCAGACACATAGACCAACTTAATTTATTTAGTTGTTCAACATTATATCATCAATGGAAACTACTTCAAACTTCTTCTGAATGTACCGATTTCCTATTCTCTATTTTAGATTTTCCTACTAATTAAATCTTAGCATCACTGGCTACACTTTGTTTTTCACGTTTTTTTTCTGTCATGCAACATTCTTATCCCGTAAACTGTAGTTCTTTATGGAACATATTCCTTTAACATCATGGGAAATTCTATGACCAGCTAACGCTTTAGAATGATTTCGCCTTTTTAGCCATCCTGTTTAAGGGTACTCCATGCATCCACCTCATCTCATGATCACGACAAATGAATGATCCTAGGTAGCGAAAATGGTCGCTACTATGTACGTATAGGACTTACTAAGATATTTGGGCACCTGTGTCACATTACTCAAACAAACCTCCAGCAAAGAAATGAAACTTTGATGTTTATCATGTGGAAACAATCCATAAGATAAATAAATATCGTATCACCACAGTCCCTAGAGAAGAATAGAAACAAAACAAGGCGTTGGTCATATGCGTATGGAATAATTAGATGAGATAAAGGATGACAAAGAAGTTCCATGGAACTTTTTAATATTACAGGAAATGAAATTTGAATAAATTTCTCTCATACTTGCCCTTCGTCATCAGTCCTACCTTCAACTGAAAAGTAGTGGATAAAGCTTGTCATACTATCATATGAAGACCCCCCTTCTTTCATTGCGTCCCTCGCCTTTCTCCCGACCTCTGTAGCCCTCTGCCTTATACCTTCTGCTGCTTCTCCTCCATCCATCAACCTCTTTACTGCCTTGCGCACATCCTCTCTATTAGCCAATACTTCCTTGCTGTCTACCCACATGCCTCGCTTTTTAACTCCAACCGAGACTCCAATCTTCAGAACATCCACGACCATCCTCTCATTGAGGAACTGGTCTGCGAAATGTGGCCAAGTAATCATAGGCACACCCGTTGATATTCCTTCGAGTGTCGAGTTCCACCCACAATGCGTCATGAATCCTCCGACCGCAGGGTGTGATAGTATCAAAACTTGTGGGGCCCATCCTTTTATAAGGAGACTCCTCGATTTTACACGCTCCTCGAAGCCCTCAGATAGCCACCCTTCTACCTCTGGGGATATTTCATGTTCTTTGATCACCCAAATAAATGGATGGTTTGAAGATTCTAACCCCAATCCTATCTCAATCAGTCGACGAGCTTCAACGAATGTGAGGCTACCGAAATTGACATAAACGACTGATCTGGGCTCCTTTGAATCAAGCCAGGTTAGACATTTATTGATGTCAATGGAGGCCTTGTTTCCTCTCATAGACATGTTGGACAAGTTTTTATTATGAAGAAAAAATGGTCCAACCGCCCAAACTTTTTTACCCATAGCAATTTGATAGTTCTTGATGTGCTGAAGTTCTAAATCATTGAAAGTGTTCACCACGATTCCATCGGCTGCAAGCTCAGCCTTTTCTACTTTTTTGGCGAATTCTTCCCAGCCAGGTTCGACGAAGAACCCTGCAGGGGCTTGATCCTTTGTGACCACAATTTTTTGACTTAAGCCCGGTACATCAAAAGGCTCATGCTCATCAGTGATTCTATCATAGACCTTATAATGAGAGATATTATGAGTACATAAGAGAGTGAAGCAGCAAATACTGAAGAATGTGAGCCGAGGTATCTGCAGGTTGTCGGCCACCTTTTGGGTCCAATGGTGGCAGAAGTCAGTCACCATGCAGTTGGGATAGGGTTCCTGTTCTCGGAGATATTTTTCAACAGGTTCCGCCAGAAGACTTAGGCCTTCAAAGAAATTTTTCATGAGCTCTGCTGATGGAACTATGTCGATATTCTCACAGCCTTCAGGCAAGCCCAGCTCTTTACAAGGGAATGCAAGCTCAACAAAGCGTATTGATATGCCAGAATCTCGGGCGCTGTTAATGGTAGCTCTGTTCCGAGAGGCATTGAGAGGGGTGGTGATTACGGTAACTAGTGAACCGTGGTGGGCGAGAAATACGGCAAAATCAAGCATTGGGATCATGTGGCCTTGAGCCATCATAGGGACTAGCACAAAGTGTGGCTTTGGCTCATTAGAACTATGGATAATTATTTGGCTGGTCATTGTTGTGATCTGTAATATTGCTCCTTGAAGACTCTTGATTCTTTATACATAGAGCTCACAGAGGTTAGTTATCTTCATCCCCCTGGCCGGCTAATAGAGCTATTTTTTTCCAATGTTGTAGAATGCTGAGTTCGTTAACCTATATACAAGGTTTCCATTTGATTTTGTCTGTTATGGCATTGGAGAAATCAGCAAGCATAGTATTTCAAGGACGTTGCAACTTCAGCTCCTGAGAAGCCGAATTGTATAATAATTTGATCTTGTTTGTTTTTCTTGCTCTTCCTAGGGAATTAGTATTAGAAACACAAAGGATGAAAGTTTCATCGGAAGCCTTTAGGCCAATTTGCTATGTGCTTTTCGTCATACTTTTCATCGTACTTTTCGTCGTACTTTTCATCGTACTTTTCGTCGTACTTTTGATATCATCCAACATATGCATTTGAGAATATCGCTTGGGAGCTCCCAACTGCCAAAAATTTACAAAACCCCCCCTCAAAACTACCCCTTACCAGTTTGTGGAGCGCAGGGATGATTCTGGCGGCGAAGAGGCCTCCGACTGGGGTGCCGGCGACGATGGTGACGATGCCGACGCCGGAGATGATGGCGGCGTTCGGGTCGGGTCGGAGATGATGGAGGCGAAGTGGATTTGGGGTGGGGTTGCGTCGGGTCGGAGATGATTTGGGGTTGGGTTCGGTCGAAGGAAAGGATTTGGGGGTGGAGGTGTCTGTCGAAGGGAGAGGATGAATTTTTTTTTTTTTTTTTAATTGGGGATTTGGCGTTGTTGAGAGGAATTTAACTGTTGGGAAAATGTAAATTACATTAGACAGCTACTTTATTGAAAATATAAATTACATTTGAAAATGTAAATTACATTTGAAAAATTTGGCATTGAATGGGTAAAATATTAAAATAGAAGAGGGATTTTTTTGATATTGTTGGAGCTACTAACTAGGAGCTTGTTGGAGCTCCATAAAAGAAGGAGGACATCCCAAGACTTATTTTTTTAATTTTTTATTCTAAAATGCTTGAGAGCTCTTGAGAGCTTGTTGACTAGGACTCCCAACTGGGAGCTTGATGCACTTGCTCTTAGCCTAAAAACTAAAAACTTCCTTCATCCATTGGATCTAGATGAATCCAATGGCTGGGATTCAGTCAAACAGTCAACAGACACATGCATTAATTACCTCAACGCAGTGAATCCAGATTCACTACCTCAACGTATCTCGAATCACTGCAGTGAATCCAGAATCACTGCAGTGAATCCAGATTCACTACAGTAATTCATTACTGTAATGAATCTGGATTCATTGCGTTGATGTATTTAATGCATGTGTTTAATGAGGTAATTAATACATGTGTATGTTGACTGTTTGACTGAATGCTAGCCATTGGATGAAGGAGGTTTTTAGTTTTTAGGCTAAGGAGGTTTTTATTAGAACCTCTCCATATATATATATATATATATATATATATATATATATATATATATATATATATATATATATATATATATATATATATATATATATATATATATATATATATATATATATATATATATATATATATATATATATATATATATATATATATATATATATATATATATATATATATATATATATATATATATATATATATATATATATATATATGTGTGTGTGTGTGTGTGTGTGCGCGCGTGTGTGTATATGTATGTATATAGGTGTTTATAGCTCTGATACCAATTCTAAACATGCATAAAAAAATTTAGACAAAGGAAATAACTTACAAAGTTCGGCTGCCCATTCTTAAGATAATTTCTTTCTCCACAATCTTTATTTATAAAATATCGTACAAGAGAACTCCGCACACTGCAAATCCACATAGACTTTTTAATAAAAATTTAGACTAAAAAACGCACACTTTACAACACATATCTTCTCTCCTTATATAAACTGGAAGAGAATAAAGCACAGACATAAAGTAAAAGGCACCTAGTAGAGCGTCTTCTTTTCAAAAGTAGCTTTATAAAGCTTGTCTTTTGAAAAAGCTTATTTAAGAAAGTAGGCAAACCGTATTGATCGAAATCAATAAGACTAGCTGGGAGTAATATTGATGATGATAAGCATACTGGCGAGCACTTTCGATGAATCCCTTCTTGACTGATCCTGTGTTAATATGATGATTATTTGGAAAAAGCATCATGCATGTATGCCGAATCCTATGCTATTAATGAAGTCTTATCCATCGGACAAATTTTCAAAACAATTCCTTTTGTAATTTTATTCCCAAAAAACGACCCCTTTAATTTTTATTTGTAAAAACCGACCTGGTTTCAGCCTCAACGCTGAAACCAGGTCGGTTTTTTCAAAAAAAAGTTCTGAAACTTCACGGGAGTTAATCTCCCGTGAAGTTTAGCACTTTTTAATTAAGCTGTTAAACTTCACGAGAGTTGAACTCCCGTGAAGTTTCTTAGTTCAAAAATAATTTTTTTGAACTGTGAAACTTCACGGGAGTTCAACTCCCGTGAAGTTTCAGAACATTTTTTGTAAAAACTGACCTGGTTTCAGCGCTGAGGTTGAAACCAAGTCAGTTTTTATAAATAAGAGAGAAATAGTTTGTTTTTTGGGAATAAATTTGCAAAAGAGTTTGTTTTGAAAATTTGTCCCTTATCCATCATATGTACAGTACAAGCAGGAGCAACCTTCTCTTTGCTCCTGAATTTACTATTTCGACCAATTCCTCTCTCTATATCACGGATACTATTTCCATGTAAAATATCAAGAGGAACCTTCGTCAATAATTCGACGTGAGCGCCTAAAGTTATTAGACAGTGATATATTTTATCAGCATCATCGTCCGTATATTTTTTGTAATTTTCATTAAGAGACGTACAATAAGAAAACTTCTAAAATTGGATACTCATAATGGACGATCGTATCACGATGAGGGGGACCCGATGGCCTTCTGAAAGATTGGATTTTTGGTCGAGCTTTTAGCTCCATTCCTCAAAGCCATGGATAACTTTTAGCATGGCTCTAGAAGGAAAAGTTAAATGCAATGAGTTGTATAGGGACATTGATAAAGTACAAAAATGTAAAAAAAAAAAAAAGAAAAAAATTTAAATTCTTGTTACAGTTTTCGTGTTTTCATACAGTAAATGGTTTCCAAAAAAGAAGGTTAATTACACTAGGTGTAGTTCAATTTTGGCATATAGACCCACGACAAGTGATCTGAATGGTTAGGTAGTTCCAATATGGCTCTCATGGTCATGGGTTTGGTTCCGGATTGGGTTATAAAAGAAATTGGCAGTTAGCCTTGACCCCTCTTTTTGACTCTTTTAAGTACTTGGGGTGAAATTTTGGCGGATATTACATTGGGGTGAAATTAGTGATGTATTTAAGGGTAAAAGGGTTTGAAAAAAAGTTGTCCAAAGATTATTACATGGATAATAAGTTCCAACATGTTATACTAGAACAGAAGGTATATTGTAATTAACCCTTTTAAAAATGATATCAGTACCACTTAAGTTTAGACCAGGGAAAACAAAACAGCATGTTACGTTACACCTTCCACTGAAGTTAGAATACAGATTGTGCACTATGCTATATTGTTTGTTGTCATTGTTGAGAGTCCGAGAACCAAGATTTTGGCGTGGCAGCTTCTTTGTGGAGTTTCAACATCTACAGAGTCCATTAGTTGTTTCTGGGGCTATCCAAATGGGCTTCGGGCCCGGAGCTGGCCCGAACCCGGTTGCGCCCAAACCCGGCCCGGGCC